TGTGTTGTGTAGACTTGCAATACAAACAACTTTTGGCTGAAGGTCACATCAGAATCAGATTTGTCACACGTTTTCATAAGTTTTCATAAGATTTGGGACGCTGAGCCCGCTTCTCAGCATGATCTGTCCCTGTTCGGTCACTCCGGGTAGACTGTGAGGACCCCGGCCTCAATTTTTTTACTGGAAATATCAGCCTTGGGCACAGGGCCTTTAACAAAAAAAAAAAAAAAAAAAAAAAAAAAAAAAAAAAAGAAGAAGAAGAAGGAATTCCTCACCAAATAGAAGAAAACAACAAAATCACACGAAGGCACCCCCCTTAGCCCCTTTAAAACAAATTTATACCCCACTTTCTCCCCCTTGAAAGCCAACTCTCAGAAAATGAAAAGAGCCCGGATTTGGGGTCCTCTGGGAGAGCGCAGAAAAGCAAAAAAAAAAAAAAAAAAGATTTCTTCTTTTTGCACGCCCGGGTGCACGGCCGGGCATGAGAATCTTCCCAGATCAGAACTTTTTTCTTTGTTTCCCTGATGACGGGGCATTCTTGCGCCCTCTGAGAAAGACCCAAATCCGGTCTTTTTTTTTTTTTTTCCCGGTTCATGTCACTTTTGGAGGGTTGGAGGGTGGGTGGGGGGGGGGGGGGGGGGGGGGGGGGGGGGGGGAGGGTAAGGGCCTCAAAGGGGCTTGAAAGGTTTATAGCATAAGCATATACCAAGTACAAGACGGCAGTCAATCTTAAGAATGAAATCCACACAAAAGAGCAGCAAGGTAGACGATACAGACAGTAGAAGGGGGGAAGAGAGAGAGAAGAAGAAGAAAGAAATCACGACGACGCATGTCCTGAACGCGACTTAAAATCTATTAAAAGATATAACATGAAGCACGAACATGGCGGAGGACCCTACTAGTTTTACCTGGCCGCCAACTAGGATCGTCAGGGGTCTTGTGAAGTCGGTACAGAAACCGTAGGTCGTCGGTCTTATATACAGACACCTCATAGGGAAAGGCACCTAAGTAGGTCAACACGCCTACAACAGACCACGAGTCCAAAGAGTCGCATAAGAACCCAAAAAGACATACAAAAAGTCCCAAGGTAACGGAACCTGGACAAAAACCGTTCAAAGACATCAGCTACGCAAGCCCAACACCTAAAGACAAGGTCAGGTCCCTAGTTCGAAATCTCTATCACCAAGTGCGGTGGCTAAGCCCAACTCGTCGTGAATACCAAGAACCAAAAGCAGAACCAACAGTTTCAGAAAACCTGAACAGAACCAGGTCCCAAGCTCGAAACCCGCAAAAACTAACTCATCTGGGAACTATGCCCAACTCACTGCATGGGTCCTGGGGACCATCTCACGCAGATGTGTACATGTCATGCATCATCTTCACACGCAGTGATCAATAGTCTCAACCATAGACAAAGGTAGAGAAGAAGAGGACCGAGTTTCACAGCTTATATTATCAGAAATATGATTACAAAGTGTTTCAAAGTTCCCCTGAGTCCAGCGCTCATCASCGCAACACAAATCTCTGTTCAACTCATCAATATRACTTCCAAGRCATCAGCGCTACCCCTGCAGATTGTCTCCCAGTCATCAATATGGTCACAACTCATCGGCGCCACCTCTGCAGTTCACAACCAACTYAGGTAAGTGTCTCCCATAGCCAAACCTTGAATGAACACTCTATATCTCAGYCCCTTCCTCTTACGATGCATACACATTCTCTACTCATGAGGATCTACTCTGAATACTWCTCATAGCTMCACACTAACCCTCTACYACTAATGCTAACTCGCTGGGCAGCTATGGCTGCGTCATGTCCAGCGTACAGTCTTCTTCCTCCATTCAGCGCATCTTCATCCTCCAGCGCTGCTCCTCCTGACTCAACGCACAAGTGCACCAGCACTTCCACGGAATGATAGCCAGTGGAGATCTGGCGAGGAATGAGGCAGGCAGCTCCCTTTATAGTGCTGGTCATTCCTCGTTGGGTCTGCATTGGCTCACTTCAGTCTTCCTTTTGTCCCAGACCCTGCATTGCATGTGTCCCAGTAGAGTCCCAATGAAGTTCAACTGCTGCTGAGGCCTCTCGGCCTGTATTTGGACTTGAAAGTTTGGATTTAGACTGACTCCTTGACTTAGACCAGAACTGGGACTGTGCCTATTGACTTTACTTTCGGACAGGCACAACTCTCAACGAACAGACACATTTACTGCTTGAACAGACACTTTCCTTTGCACGAATAGGTACACTTCCTGCACGTACAGACACACTCTTACCCGAACAGACATGACATACACATCTCCTGGTGAACAGGTAAGTATTTTGACAATGCCCTTTGCCTTAGATTTAGATGTGCCTGTTGATAGAGAACTTGACCTTTGACCTGCTTTCACGTTTCTGAGCCCTGGCGAGATACCTTTTCACAATGCTTTACTTTTACAAGGCCCGAGCTGCTTCACTTTTACAAGGCCTGAGGCCTACATCGGGTAAAGGCCCTTTTATC